AAAGTTGAGTAACACGCCATGGCACTTAAAGTGATAGCGATGATAATTGTTGCTGCGGTGCTGATTGTGAGAGACGTTGTCACTGAAGTGCTGTGGGGGATAGTCATATCAGATTTTCGTGATAAGTGAGTGGGTGGCGCAGTTACTCTTTTTATGGAACGCACAATTATATACCACGGCACGGTATGTATGTATATATATACTAAAAAGTAATTGATGGCGAACAAGGGTCGTTTTTCGCCATGGCTTTGTAGGGAGCTTTGAAGGGAGAAAACCTCGCTTTGGCTTCAGTTTGCAGCCGAATAAAATACGTAAAGCAAGCATTTGCGCGCAAATTTATGTGGAAGCTTACATTTTTATTTGCACTAGCATTTTGTTGTTATACCTCTGCTTGCGCCAGCATAACATGATGCATAAATATTTTGCATAATGCGTTGAGCGTTCACTGAGTTGCACCTTTTTTATGTTGCAGCGGCGAAGGCGTGCGTGGTGTTGCAACGAATGGAGGTGGAGGTGAAAATATCTCTTCATGCGGAACGTGATATTTGGACATTCAAAAATGAAAAGTTAAAATAACCATTAAGAATAGAGAGGTTGAGCGTAAGAGGGGGAAAATAAGCAAAATGAGGGCAGCAAACCGTGCGAAAAACGCTTACTTTGCATACATTTTAAATTGCATTTTAAGTAATGAATTTGCATCATGCCACATAGCGCACTGAATTGCAGCGGCGGCTTAAGCAAAAACAAAAAAGCGAAAGTGCACTTTATGTAAATAAGTAAGAAAAAAAAATGTATAAATACGCTAAACGTGTTCAAGGTAGCTTAGCGTTAGTGGCAAGGGAAGTGTCAGTTGTGAAGGATTCGCTTGTTTAGAGGAGCATGCTTGTCAAATGGTTTCTTTTTTTTTACGGATGTCGACTAAGTGTGACATTAAAAATGCATTATTCCAACAACAAAGCGGACTCAACAACCGTAAAACGGCTGTTTGACTCATAGTTAAAAACGTGGAACAAGTATCAAGATGTGTTGGACCTTCATTTAATGTGTTTATAAAAAAGTAACGGTATTTACATGTTGCTTTTTTCAGCGTGTTAGTAGACGCATAGCCAAGGAAACTTCTTCTCTGCTCAGCATAGATACATAAATTATTGTGTAGTATTGAGCTTGCAGGTGGTGCTCGAAATGCCCAATCTCTTCCAAAACGGTGAAAGTGTAAGGGAAGTACGCTTTTTTCATCTCTCATACCTCTGGTATACCTCTGTATTCCGGTACCTAAATATATCTGGTGAAGAGTAAACTGCTATCACTTTAAGTGATGTGCTGCCAAATACTTCCAAGTTTCCGAATTACTTGTGGATAAAATTCAAATTGGTTAGAGCCAATTGTACTCCAAGTCGTTCCGAGTTCACTCACCCCCCGACCTTCGTTTCCATTTTAGATCCGCTAGTGTAGCATCGAATAGAATCAAAGAATCTCGGAGCGTCCTACATCCATTTCTCTCTGCCAGGGATATCTAATTTATATCCTTTTTCGAAAGCTGCTGACCCTCTTGGGTTTAGCTAGCAGGATTTCACCTGATCTGTGACGTTTGCTGATTACCTGTGGCTTTTACTGCTTCCATAGCCGGTAGTCCGTTATGACGGCGTTTGCCCATTCGAACTCTGCCTGAATTTCAACAAAGTAGCTGTTTAAACTCTCTACGCTGTTTGGTAGCCTTATTTTGGTACTGGCCCCATAGTACGTGTCTGTGCAGCTGCTCTTCCGATTCTTTAAGAGTGTCTGTCTCTTTGTTTGCGTTGTTGTTTTTGTAGTCGTTTTTATTCATATTTGTGTCCGGCGAGTGGTGTTGAAAATTAGTCGTACATCCACGAGGCTATCGTGAGTAAGGCCTTAAATACAACCTTTTTGGGGCCTGGTTCGAAGATAGCTTCGATCAAGCCCCATTCGAATTTCGCCTCACAAACATAGTCAAAACCATTTTGGAGTGTCACATCTATTACAAAGATTAACACACAGCATGGATTCCTGATCTTTGCAAGATCTTAACTGGAAGTCAACCCGACATCGTGCAGGCTCTTTCAGTGCTTGATAGAGAGATAGATAGTTGAATAAAGCACTGCGACCAGTAGGTATATTATTCCCAGAGCTCATCACAGTACTTCACCTAGCACTAGAGATTCTAGAATTTTCAGAATTGAACTCGGAGGCAGAAAGCGAATTTGGTCCTCTCTTGGCCATAATTGCCATATGCTCCTCTCTCTTCTAAGTGCGATGGCCTCACATTCCAGAAGGAGGTATAATGGTGCCTCCTTGGCAATCTCAGTACACAAACTTATGGCATAGACTTCCGCTTGGAATATGCTAGGAAAGGTTTCCAGAGGCACCTAAATCATCAGCCTAGGGCCATAAACACCTTCTCCCCACCCCTGAATCCCTGGTCTATGATAGAAGTACTCCAGGTCGCCTTGCTGTGTGTTTCAACCCTATAGTTTCTTTCGAAACAACCTCTTAGCTAGATTAAGTCCTCTATGGGATTTATTGTCGGACGCCGCCTTGATATCAAGGAAGGCACAGAGCACTGTTCGTCCAAACTCGAAGGTTTCCTGTATTTCCGAAGTCAGAGCGTACAGAGTAATATCTGTAGATCTATCCGCTCTGTACGCGTGCTGATCTGGATTCAACAGTGCCTGTTTCTTTCCGTGCGACACATTACCTGTCGGCATCCACGTGCGGATTTCCTTCGAAGATTTTAATACCTTCAATCGCCTCTTATTTTGAAGAAATTCCATGTGAGTTCATTGAAACCGACAGTTAGATCATTTTCTTGTCGGTTAGTCAGTGACCCACAGAAAGTGTAGATATTAATGACTTGCGAATCTATTAATCACATTCAGCTGTCAGCCAAAAGTGGACGCTTCTCTGAACGAGATCCGTTTTTGATGGCAAAAGTCCTTCTTGCCTTAGCTAAACTTTTGTTCAATAAAGTGTAGGTAGAATTGAAAGTTTCAGTGCAAATACATATCAAGCAAATAATTTAGTATGCAGGTGTTGTAAATATTTTCGGTTTGTCATTTTTTAAAGGAAGAAATATGAGCTTCGTTAAAAATAAAATAAATGTGTCAATTTTCTCCAAACTTCATAAAATTTAGTGCTTGGAGCCAAAATAGTTTCGTACGAGGTGGGCATCATAGTAAAAAAACTCTTCATTATCTTCCAAATCGGAAAATTTTGGAGTAAACGTGCAGGATACACCTAACTTCTTCAAAAATATTTTTTTTTTTTAAATTTGCGCCTATTTTTCTAGAATTAATGGACGATAATGTAAACCGATTTTGACGCTCTTTCATATTTATGATTTTCCAGTTAAAACCAGCATGAATTTCATCAAAAGCGGTTAACATTTACTATTTCCGCCCACAATAGAGGGGACGTGGCAGCGCGTTGAATTTTACTATTTTCCACATTTCTTCATTCTTAAGTGCCGAATAGCGCATATACGAAATTTCAGCGGATTTGTAGTACGGTTACTTCTTTTGGCCACAGCTTATATGGGGACGCCCCACTGTGCGACCTCGTTCCCTTCAATATCCCGCTACCCTAGTGCCTAGTGTTACGCCTGACTGTGATAGGCAACTTCATTTGCCCATCCTGCCTTAAAGAGGATGGGACGTTGGAACACTTTTTGTGCTTCTGGCCCCCCCTTTGCAAGAATTAGGTATGGGATATTTGGCCGCGATGTCTTGAGAGGCGAACACCTGAGCCCTTTAACACCCAACAATCTGCTTAGGTTTATTCGTAAATAGTGAAGATTTAAAACAGATTAAAAGGGAAATGAAAACAATACAATGGACGGCATGTAGTCTGAGTGTTGTTTTCTGAACGCGTTGTTTTGAGCCTGGTTCCGACAAACAACAAAAAATAGAAATAAAAATAAAAAATTGGTAATTGCTGCCAAGGGGTAAAGCGTATCGAAGCACTCCTTTTCCTAGTGGAGAGGACCCTGATCTCCGCTTGACTGTCTGAAAAGATAACAAAGAAAGCGCCTTTCTTCAACAATGGGGCATCAGCCTCGTGTCTGCTGATCCTGCAGGCGAGGGCGAAGCCTGTATTTGTTGTATATATAAACGTTGATTGATTTTTTTGGACTTCAAACTACTAAGGCATAGAAAAATGGAGAGGACTATCTAAAGGTTTTCTGAAGAGTTGAGCTTCAATGCTAGTTCCAACTCCGCCTCTTATCAAGAGTGATACAAGCGATTTGAACCCGTCATCAGTGTTCAAGTGCAGCCTCTTCAGGTCGTGAATATCTGCAATAAAGCAGTTAAAAGAGCCTACATTACTGAGCAAAAATTAAGTAAAAAGAGCAACTCTTTTTCAAACACTGTTTCCCTGGGCCTCATCCAAAGACGACATGGTGTTTTTAGTCGCAAATGAATTGCCGTAGCCCAAAATCCAACTTAGCACTCGACACGAATGTAACTTTAAATATTTGTATGCCTCGGCGCGCAGGTTGGACCCAGTATGCTAATGAGCAAGATAAGCTTTTTTTGTTTGGAAATATACGCAGGGAAGAAGGGTGAAATAAATTTTGATAAAATGTTATATAAAAAACGTATTGGGGGGATTGCTGGGTAATAAAGTAGATAAAAGTAGTATTGGTTGCACGTTTCCAATTCGCTGCCTGATTGTGCAATTTGCGGAAGTAAGCGGATGCAAAGTGTGCCAATAGCCTTGAGGGTATTCAGATGTGCAAAGCTTCTCCGGTTTTTGTTTTTTCTTTTTACTTTTTATTCATTAAATACGAAGCAATTGCAAAGGAAGCGAGAGAAGAATACCGAGAGTACGTATTTTTACAAATTAAACGACGCAGGTGTGAAGGGTAAAAAAGTAATTTTCCTCACTTTTTACACAAAAAGGTATCAATGAAAAAGTATGAGGAAAAGGAATACAGTAGTTTTTTCTTTTACTAATTTTTCACATTTCTTTCTTTGGCCTTCTAGGAAATCTTCCACGAGCATGCCACACATTTGCGCATTCTTCGCGAACATCATGATGCCGCTGCTTTGGCTTCGAGTCGTGTGCCGGGACGTTTGCGTCAGAATTTGCTAGCCAATTTCCGCAATGGCAGTCGTCATGCACCCTACTTCATTTATGGGCCCCATGGCAGCGGCAAGAGTGCGCTCCTGGTGAACTTGTATCACCAGTGTAAGGATTGGTTCAATTCGACACGCGTCTATCGCGTTATGCGCTTTGCTGCCGCTTCACCGCGCTCTGCCTACAATCTCGAATTATTACGCGTGATTTGTCAGCAAATCTCCATTATTTACAATATACCCGAAGGTTATTTACCCAAAGATGCTTCCTTCGATCCGGTCTACATCAACAGCTGGTTCCAAAATTTACTACGTCGCATCGAGGATATGAGTAATGATATATTTTTCATTTTTATCGACGATCTACAACTGCTAAATCCGCTTGATTGCGACGTGGTGGCGGCACTGTCATGGCTGCCCACCTCTTTGCCATGGAATGTGCAACTCATCTGCTCGACAACAACACCAATTGATCAGCTGCGCTTCACACCAATGCAACGTGATCGCTTCAAGTCGGCAGAGTTCCTTTTCGATTTAACTGCTGAGGAGAATCGCACTGAGTTGCATAAGCCACTGGCCGTGGCTGCTGGCCTGCCGGATATATCGTTTACGGATTTTATAGCGCACGAATTTGAACGGCTTGAGGCGCGATATGGCAAGAAATGTGTAGCGCGCTTAGCTGGTTATATTACTTGCTCGGAGTTTGGTTTATCGGAAACGGAGTTGCTCGAACTGCTAATGCTCACGGACGATCCAGAGGCATTCGTTGAGGCGGAGAGAGGAAATTTCAATTTCTCTACCTTCAAGCAAATACACAGTGATATGAGTGAGTATTGGTTAAGGCAGGAGAATTGAGGCGACTATTATTTTTTCACTGCATATTTCAATTCGTATCATCTTTAGTTCTGACTAATCCATATATGTACGTATATATGTATATTAGGGTGGTCCTTATAATTTTCACATCAGATTTCCTAAGCCTCAACCCCTACGTCGATGCTAATATAGTCGATACGCCTTAACCGTCTCCAAGGGACCAAACCCTATATGTGATATATATGACAGTGGTTTACCGACTGAAGGGGTGAGACTGCAAAAATTCGTTCTTTAAATTTTTTTTAAGGACCACCCTAATGTATATACATTAGGGCAGGTAAATTCGTATGCAAGATTTTTTCGACTATGCGCGTATAGCACAGAAGGAATATACGTGGAATTCTAAGCAAATTTGCCGAAGAAACCTTGGGTCTAAAATAAATTTGAAGTTTGCCAAATTGCGAAAATATGAACGCCAGAGGATGAAACAGTGGAAATTTTCACATTTTCTTCGAAACCTATTTTCGCAATTCGGCAAACTCCAAGTTGATTTTAGACCCATGGTTTCTTCAGAAAATTTGCTTAGAATTACACGTAGAATCCTCCTGTGCTATACGCGCATAGGCAAAAAAAAAATTGACCCGCGCTAATACAAATCACCTATTTAAGAGCAATATGTGTGTGTTCTGTTTTATTACTACTTTTTATTTTTAGAATTTTTGTTGCGTGATAAAATCATGTCTGGCAAAGTTCTGCTAGAGTGGCGTCACAGTTACTGCGCTGAACTCTCAAAAAGCCGTTATATGGATGCACATAGTACACGAACGATGCACATAGCTATTGCCAATATATTTTTTCAACAGGAAAATGAAGAGAATGATGGAAGCACCAGTGAAAATGCCTCGGGAGAAAGTGACAAACACTCAGGTGATTCTTGAATATTACTTTACCTCTATATGCACATACATGCATATGTTTTATGTAATTTATGCAGTAGGCTCTTTGCTAAAAGAGGCTTTAAACGAATAGAGCAAAAACGCAAGCAAAGAAGTATCGAAAGCACACATGTGCATTAGATGCTACCACCTTACATGCGAACGAACAAAAGTTCGCCATACACCCCTGGTATTTACATAGTTCACCTTTGCGTTCAACTTTTTGATGAATACGAAAGTAGAATTTTTTAAATGGCCTTTGAACTAGTCGCTTTCAATGAAGTTGGCCGACAGCCACTTACTTTAAAATCCGACATCACGAGTTATTTGAAAAATGGCAATCTGGAAAAAACCAGCTCTAAATTTTCAAATTAAGAAAAACTGGTTTTAATTTACATATTTCTCATACAGTAATAACACTTACTGTTAGCCAGATATCTGAAATGTATGTAATGTAAATCAAAAGTTCTTATATTCGTTGTTGTTGTTTCTGACACTGTAGGAGAATAATGTGATGTGGAAGGATTTTCATATGAGGCATTCTTTTTTAAGTCCATTTGTCTCCGATTCGCTTCAAATTTTTATCGGAATACGCAATAACATTTAGAGTTTTGCAAAAACCCGATTGTTAACACCTTGCTAAATATATCTTGTTTACATGCGACTGCTAACACCAGGCGCCTAAATGCATGCTATGTAGTGCTGCATGTGCAAAAATTTCCTTCATTAAATTAATGAAATTTATGTACATGCACTTCTCAACTGCAATGTAATAAAACTTTCTTAAGTTTTAATTTGATGGCAGTTCAAAGGATGCTCTGCCTAGTCGGATGCATCCTCCGGACACTGCTTCCGGAGCATTCTGCGGACTCTGCATGGCTTACAACCATGCGGAGGTGGTAATAGTTGATTACCATTGGCCACAGTGCCTACCCACTACTTTTTGGTCCAATAAATATTTTTTTTTTATATACATACATGCATTCACACTGGTCTCCCTTCTCACTGAGTTAGTCATATCTCTTCCTAAGTTTTCGAAAATAAATTTGAAAAAAAATTTTCTTAACAAAAAAAATCTCCTCATAAAAAAAAATATTCTAAAAATAGTTATTGAAAAATGCCCATTTTTATAGAGAACTAGTCAGGTATTACGATGGTATATCCCTAGTTTATTGGTCTTCACTATGTAAATCAACTTCAAAAAGTACGACTATTTAAAGCTAAAAGCAAAAAAAAAAACAATCCACCATCTTTTACATAAAAATATTAAGCCTGTTTCTTTAGCTTTAAAACGACATTAAGGTGAAGTCTCTGCGATGAGAGGAATCCGAGATACATTTAACGATTTGAAGAAGTACATGTATGGTCAGAATAACGACAAAATTCGAACTATGACAGATCATCTCTCCGAAGAAAAAGAAGAAAAAAAGTTCCCTGAATACGTGGTAGCTTATTTCATATATAGAATCCATAAAAAACACTAAGCGAATCGAAAGTGTGAGGCTAAATTTGTTGTCCGATATGAAAAAGAATGCCTCATATACGAAAAATAAAAATTACTTACAAATAAATATGAATTACGTCCGATTTTGTCTACTTTTATTGCATATTCCATAATACCTTTATTCAATTTTTCGAGTACGCGGAATTATCGAAGTATTGCTACATACTTGTTTAAGTTGTAATTAAAGAATTCTGAATTATAAATTATAAATTTAAAGAAGTAGCACATTTGAACAGATTGCATCACGCTCAATTCTGAATCAAAATTTAGCTCAATATGTAGCAAAACGTTGCTTTATGGTTCGTTATATGCGCTTTCGAGATACGGACTATAGAGTTTCAATAAATTCGGATTACACAATTTTCAATGCTACACAAATAACTATCCGGAGTTCCAAATATTCGTATTATAAATTCTTCCCACTACCAACTCTCACCTGTGCTTCTAATTGATGCTGAAAAATTTTTCTGAATGGACTTCTTATTTAAATATATGTGGTTCCCAAATAATGGAAAATTTCATATTGAGGGCAGTTATGCATAAGTCAAGACAAACAGTTAGCTTCCGGTCAATCAAGCTTAAGGAAGATATTCCAGTGTTTAGGATAAAATTAATAAATTTTTTATAGCTACATTTTTAGTAAAACAAAATTCCATAATCAAAAAATTAATGTTTCAAAAAAAACGCGCCTGAAAATATGCAAAAAAAAACAACGGTGGAAGCCGGTTTGAGAAGACAGGGTCAATCACACTTACACATACTTATATATAACAATAAAATTTTTGACAAGCAATATTTATATAGCCACGCATTTTAGCATATTATTCTTCTACGTATGTATGTACATACTTTATATTTGCTTAAAATTGTATCCACATTTTTTAATCATCCTTTCAGTAATCAGTCAAAAGGAGAAGGAAAGCATTTCAGCATCAGAGCGTAAAGCTTCATCACATCACAACGATGACACATCCACCTTTTACAATCCCATTGCCGCTGATGTTTCATACAGTATGCGACATGTGGAGGAGAGTTGGCATCATTTGATGCGTTCCGATGATATAGCGAAATTTAAACAGATAGCCGTGTGCAATTTTGATTTCCTTTTGGCAGCGGTAAGTGGAAGCAAACTTATACACACAAAGTAGTACATATGTACACATTATATAGTATAAACATATGCTTACAAACATATGTATGTATATGCTACAGTTATTAAATTTATTTCAGCAAATAATAAATCTTGAAGCAGAAAATTCGCTTTCATTTCCAATACGAACAGCTAAATAAAGATTTACGACTTTCAAGCCAATAAAGCACTAAAACATTTACGGTTCTTGTTGTGCAATTTTTTTTTGGTTTATTATGTTTCTTAAGCGTAATCTTATAAATCATGCCGAAGATGGATATAACAAAATAAAGAATTCCTAATATTGCAAATTCAAAGGAGGCAGTTCTCTTCGAATCCTTTGACGTGAGCACAGTCATCGTCCAATTCTATCTTTGCCAAGAACAACGTCCGTTGAGCGGAAGAGGCCTATAAGCCTTCCAAAGATGCAAGTAGTAGTGGCATAGCTAGTCCTCTTCGAAACTTATGATGTCATGGTGTAGATAAACTCATAACGCATAAAGTCTGAGGATTAATATGGTTGCTTAGATATTCAAACCTGCTTGGTTATGTTTTTCGCTAGAAAGAACATAATATTGGGCTGATATCAAGCTACCAACTGGTTATCACAATGTCTTGCGTTCTCTTATGCACCGAATTCATCTGGTCCCCAAAGGCAAAATCCCAGCTTAATTTTATGTACGACGAAATGTCAAAGCATATCTTTCACTTTTTAATTTAATTTAATTTAATTTTTAAGTATGCATCTAATGCAAAAGCATATTCTAAAGACTATTTTACCTAATCTCACTACTTTTCAACTATCTATATCGATATATTCCATTTCGATTTATTTATCGATAACATCAATTTCAAAGCTTAATACTTAGTAGTGTTGAATTACTATCGATAGCTCGAACGATTTAGATTTATCGATACACTTATCGACACCACTCTCGATATTTTTATCGAATTTTTATTTTTTTTTTTTATTGGTTTGCTGTAATGATTATTTCATGTTTAACGGCCCGGAAGCTTTTCTCTTTCTTTGAATTCTCACTCAACTTATAAATATACATAAGGATACCTCGCCAAAAAAATGTTGTGCTTTTTCCACCGAAATCATTATTTTATTATATTTTAAGATTCCGCCATTTCCATTTCGGAAGAATATTAAGATTAACGTAAGCTGGACTGATTTCAAAATTCCTCCAAAAATTTCATTATTTTGATTATGTTGATAAAATGTTTAAATATTTTTAAGCAAACCATTTAAGCTTTTATACTATTCTATCATCCCAGGTGATATTTTGAAAGAAATACATATATATTTTCAGAAACTAATTTTTATTTTTTTCGGAAAATTCCAAGTCAACCGAATAAAAAATTTGTAAACCAATTTTTTGTTCACTTTAATAATTCGATGGTTATTTTTAAGGGCGTGTGTGAATCGGTAACAAAGTTCTACGGGGAATGCTGTTGAATAATATTTTTACTATGGTGAGACAGTTTTGCCAATCTGCTGTGTGAAATGAAATATTTTTTGACAGCAGTAAATTTTTCATAACCGCAGATTTACGTGGAATAAAATATTACAAATTGAAGTGAAATTAATATTTTAAGAAAACATCTACCATCGTTGATTGCAATTCATCAATTTAAGCTTTTATTGAACGAAAAATTACACACATCAATAATCTTTGCGATTGTCAAAAGTTTCTATGGATTTGTCAAAAATTTCACTATCCTCATGAGCTACTGAAATTTTATTCACCTCACAGTTGCCAAAAATTTACTCGCCGCGAACTTTTCTACCGATTCACACACGCTCTAAGTACAAATATACGTACATTTTCTTTCTCGGAGCTCCTGCAGCAACTTATTGTACCAAATTTTTACAAAAACCATTTTTTGTTGAGTTTTCACCACTCCTCATTCTCTACAAGTTTGTACCGATAAGATGTCCTTGAAAAATTGGCGATGAACTTAGCAGTTATCTTTCTGATTTAAGGCCGGCATCTTTCGATTTTACGCGGTTGGAATTACTTTTTTCTCATAAAAGTTGTTCGTTTTGAAAGAATTTACAATCTTACTCGGCACTTACATAATTTAAAAATTGCAACAATGATGAAATATCCTTCATTTTTACAAAAAAACTGAGCAGCTAACATTTATTTATTTGCGCTTGGTTAATTAATTATAATTTCAGCGCAAGTATAAATGCAATCGTAACTTTAATTGCATGTTTAGCCAACAAAAAATGGCTGACATTTTCCTCTGGCACACACTCTTACACACCTTGCTCCACTAAAATCTTATATTGTATTTGTTTGTTTTTCTTTCTCTTCCAACAAACGAGAACTTAATTTAATTTTCTATACAAACTTTAAACTATTAATTAAAACTCTGGCTCGTCACAAGGTAACTTCATGCATTCAGCATTACTGTTCTGAATTCGCAACATTTCTATTGATGCAAGTTTTTGCTCTCACCTCCCTACTTCAGCTTTAATTTCGCGAAATGCATTAAATGCAGCCTTATCTAAAGTATTCTCGGCATGTTTACGCGCCAATTACAAAGCCTTGCAGCTGTGTACACGTAAAAGTTACACAAAAATTTCTAGCTTACCCAGGGATATGTATGTACATACTTACATACCTACTTACGACCNCGCGCCAATTACAAAGCCTTGCAGCTGTGTACACGTAAAAGTTACACAAAAATTTCTAGCTTACCCAGGGATATGTACTACATACTTACTTACGACACACATTCATCATACGACCAGTCGCCTTACTACAATGCAGCTGCATTTGCAGATATGCACAGACATAGTTACTACTACAAACGATGATATCTTAACTTTTCTCTTCTATGCATTACACTTCGCCGGCTTCCTCTTTTTCATTATTATTTTAACATTCGCTATTACTTGACGCTGGCATTGCATTCTTGGGTCGTTTCTACACTTGAAACTGTCTCAATGTTGCATTTACATAGTCCACTGCTGCTGCGGCTGCTTTTACTCTTCGCCCCCTCCCCTCCCTTTTGTTNGGCTTCCTCTTTTTCATTATTATTTTAACATTCGCTATTACTTGACGCTGACATTGCATTCTTGCATTCGTTTCTACACTTGAAACTGTCTCAATCTTGCATTTACATAGTCCACTGCTGCTGCGGCTGCTTTTACTCTTCGCCCCCTCCCCTCCCTTTTGTTCAACTTAAATGGCAGCACGGAAATGTAGCTAACAAAAGTTTTTCATCTGCTTCTAACCGTTATTCGAGTATCGTTTTGTTTTCTCATTTTCTTAAGAAAAGTGCTCAATTTAGATTCCTTTTACCAACTTACAATTTTAGACTTGCTTCCGCTCGCAATTAGTCAAGTTGGCAGTGCTATTGTTCATAGAAACGATGAAGATAATGCAGCAGAAAGGCTGCATTTTTTGCGTAAAATGTGAACCACTTAGGAGCTGATTGAATTCGTTCCTTCTGTTTCTCAAAATTGCTTATAAAGTATAGTTAAATTGTGAATAAATTAAAGGGCTACTTCTTTGTTCTATCGCTTAAAGCTTATTTTTTGCATTTTCGTTGTAACTGCTAAGAATCATATCTTAACATGCCGCGATCGTATTTTTTTTTTGTCTGTATAAAAAGTACTCGTAATCCTAATACACTTTTGAGGATTAATTATTCGGTGCTTGATTTAAAAAACCTGGCAGATAATGGCGTTTTTCTTTTCTAAAAAAAAATGTTGCCTTTTCTAAAGAGAGTGCACTTTAGTATTTGTGCGTAGAGGGCACTGAGAAGGCAACATTTTTCTGTAGAAAATGAAAAGGACATATTTGTGTTTTGACGTAGAATACGTCTTACCTTAAGGTATGGGGGCTATGTTCAAATGTTGTAGTTGTAATTTTTAGAGCTTCACAAAAACGCTTATTGCACGAGAACTAATAAAGCGATTACAAAGAAAAGTGTGGCGTTTCAAAGATAAAATTCCAAACCTGTCGACAGATTCATTTTTGTAAATAACCAATTCGGTTTCTGTCGTAAAAACAACGGTAAACATTGCCTTATTTTGGGGTCAATTTTGAGCCTTTAAAG